TTCTCTTAATGCATTCAAGAATTCAGTGCAATTGGACTTATTTTTCTTGATTATGAATGGATAATTCATATCTTAAACCCTGTTATTGGATTTTGATGTTTGTGTTTTGTTTCTTCTTGTTGCTGATTCTTTTAATGTTCATTTTCACTTTAGGTGAAACTGAATCCTTCACTTGCAGATGCTTGGTTAAGCTTAGGTAACTGCATTTGGAAGAAAGGTGATTTGGCTTCAGCAAAGAATTGTTTAACCCTTGGCTTAAGCAAGGTTATTTTTCTTTATTCCCGATAATTTGACAGAGATTTCCTACACTTGTTTAAGTTGAGCAGTTGTCTGACTGTTTATAGTTCCCGTTGAATATATAATCTTCAGGGCCCCAATAAAGGAATTCTTTGTCAATTATCAATGCTTGAAAGAAGAATGGCTCAAGGCAAGATTAAAAGTTGCTTTTGGTTACAATTTTGTCCGAATTCACTATGAATGAGCTTAGCTTTCTTGATAAGTAGCTACATAATCTCATTTTGCTCGACTTCTGTACATCTTCCAGGTGCTGAAGACGAGGTGAAGATTGTTGATGACAGCATAAAGCATGCAAAAGAAGCCATCACTTTAGATGTCAAGGATGGAAACTCTTGGTGTAAGTTTTAGCAAGTAGAGATTATAATGCACAAGCATTCTTGCTAATTTTGTTGTTGAATTTTATGATTACTGATTCATTCTACTGTAAACATATTTTGGAAGTTTTGTTACATGACCTTGGAAATGCATGTCGATTCTCGTCTTCTTCACAGATAACCTTGGAAATGCGTGTCTCACATCTTTTTTTGTAACTGGAGCATGGGATCATGGAAAGCTTATGCAATCATTAAAAGCGTACCAACATGCTGTGAGTAATATCTTAGAAACTGTCAAATTTCTGCTGCAATTTTATTACAAGCTTTTGTGAGGCTTCCTAATTATTTGTTTACTTGTCAGGAAAAAGATGAAAGAATGAGGTCGAATCCTGACCTTTATTACAACTGTGCTATTGTAAGGTTCTTTCTTCTCTTTAACTTCCTTTTAAGTGTTTTGTGGGTAGAAACATCAAAATGATCTATTGTTTTGTGTGTGTGTGTGTGTGTAGATATATACATGTTCCCTCTCGGCATATTTATGCCTTACAGAATCACTGCAAACACTAATTGATTTTTTCGGTTACCATTCTGTGTTTTAATAGTTTCTTCTATGCGCCTATTTTTATGCCTGTGTTACCCCATTCCCTACAACGTCTTGTCTTTACACTTTTTTTGTTAAATATGAATATAGGTAAACAAATATCTTGAAAACTATGAGAGAGCCCTGAGTGGATTTGAAGCTGCTGCATTGAGGGATCCTGGTCTCAATTCCATGGTTGAAGTGCAGAAGATGGTTCGCCTTCTTGACAAAATAGAGAGTTTGCTTCGAGTAAGATTCCTGTTTAGCTAATTTTGTAAATTTACAAAAAAATTTTGCCTTTATGCAATGATGTGAGCCATCTTTATCTCTTGACCTTAAGTTAGAATCTCTAACGCAATGAATTTATCCTTGGACAATGCAATTGTATTAACTGGAAAATTGAGAAAGTTATGAATATTGATCTGATGAAGTATTCTTAGACTTGCAGTTTGCAGATGTGAAATCACTTAATTAACCATGGATTTAGTATATTAATATTAGTCAATCATATTATTAGACTTTCCAACGATTAGCTTTAGAAATATTCAATTGTTTGCGTGATTCCTGCTACCTCTTGTACGATTCAAGATAGATTTACATTAACTTGCCTTTTTTGCTGCATAAGTGAAAGGTTTGTACGATTCAAGATAGAGTTACATTTACTTGCCTTTTTTGCTGCATAAGTGAAAGATTTGTAGGATTCAAGATAGATTTACATTTACTTGCCTTTTTTGCTGCATAAGTGAAAGATTAGATCTTTCATCTTTATGACCATAAATTTTTTTAGAAATCAAAATAGACCTTTTAATTGTACTTCTTTTGATCATTGACATGATTTAGCTAATTTTAATGTATTATTGATACACAGGGACAAACAAAAGTTAAACGTTTAGCTTCCATTGCATCATCACTCACTAGTGTCAACTGTAAGCAATCCGAAATACTGCAATACCTCTTAATTAGGTTGACTATTATTTTATTATTCTCTCTATTGAAACCTTTATCCTTTTCTGCTAGTGAATGCTTCATACAGAAGAGAGAACATAGATCGTCTGTTAGAAGGTCTGAACAAAGCAGTTGCAGTTGTAGGAAAAGTCATATTCTTCGTTAAGCACGAGAATGTGGCGCCGTTGTAAGTTTGCTTTCTCTCTGCTCAAAATTCTGCTCGGCGTCCCTTTGCAGCATCTATTCTGATTCTTCTCTCGTATCTTGCTAAAATTTTGCAGTTACTATGTGCTGTGTGATTCAAGTCAGATATGCTACATCTTATCTGTGTATGGAATACAAAGTGAGGCTGTAAGTCGGCTGTTCCAACCCTTTTTACTTCATTTCATAAATGAACAAACCCCTTAAACATTGCACCTCGATGGAACATGTACATGATATGCACTATGTGGTTCGTTTTTTTGTATTTTATTTTATTTTAGATTTATCTTGTTCAATGGCCAAGTAATCTGAGTGAGCAATTGTTAACTTGTGATATGCCTTCCCATGAATTCACTTGCTATTATATAAATTTAGTTGTCGGGTTCTTCTTTCAGATAAAAGAAGGAGATCAGGTCACTCTTTTGGAACCTTCTTACCGTTACGTTGACTTTTCTTGGAAAGAGAAGGTACACTACCTATTGTTTGCTAGCATCTAATTAGTTTGTACTTTGTTGAAATTATTTTTTATTTATTTGGATGCAACTAATGTTAATATCTGTATGTGTTGTTGGTATCAGTTGTATCAGTTCAGATCGGTCCGTGTTGACTTCTTGGAGCAAGTGCTTGTGAATGGGAAAAACTTGTCGCCTCAGCACTCTGTTCAAACATCAATCTACGCTCAAAACAAGACGTGAAAGCGCTGTGGTTTCTTGTCTAGGTATAATACACAGTTTCGAAGTAGGCATGAAGAAAATTCTCCCGAGTGAAAGAGAAAAATTGTTTTGTATAAAATAGCGAAACTGTCTGTGTGTAAAGATTTTGTTGAATTTGTAGCTGTAAATAGATCTGATCAGTCGGTGAAAATATACGTCGATACAGCTATGTCGGAAAACTCCAAGCTCTTTGAAATGCAATCTACTCGTGGATGTTGCTTTAACCTCCTAATTCGTCATGTCTCGTGTGCTTTTAATTCCCTTCAACCGCCTTTCATTTGTTGTATATTTTTTTAATCTGTATTTTCAACTACGACTAGAAAGATGCACGTGCGTGTCAATATTTATCTGTCTTAAAAAAAAAATATATTCTGCTCGGTCAATATTTATTAAAATTAAATCATATATTATGTATTCAAAACATGTAATGTTTAAGAATTAATAGTCTTCCAGTATTTTAGAATCAGACCATAATTAATTTGGGTTTGTTTAGACTTTAGAGTGAAATACTCGGTGTTCTAAACTTATATGAGATATCCTTCAATCTCCATTACTTCAGTAAAATTAGATGTCGACTAGAAAAATAATATGCATGAAAAATAATACTGAATTGTCTAATTCACCCCACTACATTTTAGTGAAATAATTAATTTAAATCCGTTTTAAACACTCGAGCCATGTTGTCAACTCAATCACCGAATTTTATTTGATGAATAATCGACCAAAAATCCATTTTCTAGGAGCTTGATACCGTTAAAAAATGGGTCCCCTCTAGAATATACAACGAGAGCTTTCGTAATTTGCCTTAAAATAAATCAAATTAAAATATAAAAGTGGCTCAAGGGATTTTTAGCCATATTACTTGCTAATAAAAGTTAGGATTAGGGTTTTTAGCTAATTTATTTCTTTCCAAATATTTAATAACAATCCTCTATAATAAGCAGCTCACCCAACCAGTAGAAGTTTCTAGAGAAGGCGAACAAAATATTTGTACTAAATAACAGCCCCCGCCCCCAAATTCTCAGGCTACCACCGAACAAGAAGCGCAGCTTTAGATCTTTTTTCGCAGGTATGAATTTCGGAACGATTCTTTGATCTGTTGATTTTTATTTTTATTTTAATTTTAATTTTAATTTTATTGTTAATTCTATTTGACAAGTAATTTGGCGTCTGCAGATATTTGCCTCAATTCAAATTGTTTCTTATTTTCTACTTTTAATATGTTCCGTCATTAGATCAAATGTAATCATGTTAGCTTTCTCCAAAGATTGAATTTTTAGGGTTTTTATTTTACTTAAAAATTAATCTTGGTAATTCGGTTATTATTGTAAATTAATTCTTGAATATGCGAAAGATTGATTCGGTTTGTTTTAGGGTTATAATAATTTTATTTCATTTTGTTATTGAACAGTATTTAGAGAGAAGTGGTAACTTGAGCTGTTTATTCTGGTGGGCTGTTGTGGATTTTCCTTTCTCTGTCATAAGGTAAGGAAACCCGATTCAATTTTCGTTGAATTTATATTGAAAATCTAATCTTTGATTATGTATAATTTCTTCTGCCGTTATACTTCCCCACCTGTAGA